GATACATTCTTGAATACCGTAGTTACTTATTGTACTGAATAACAGTAGTCTACGATTCGATTCAAGTAATAATAGTTCGAACTTACTATTGCTACAAACCGCCTTCGACTGCCTTCCAGCACTCTTCACCACAAATCGTTTTCCACCGTCTGACGGCAGGTGATTTTTGAAATATTTCACCTCATAACTTTTGGAGAAACGGCGCAAATTCAGTCGAAAACTTTACTGATATAGCTACCACAGTAGCAACTCCGAAAAACACTTATATTTAAAACATTACTTACAGCAGCCGTTATTCTCGACGTGAACCCCGTTTACAGACCAAGTGCCATTTCATCAATTTGTTTTGTTCACTTGTGCCTGTGCTTACCCACACATAGCTGCTGCTTTGCACACGCCAGCGAACCATAAGATGGGATTTTCCTGTAATTTTGTGATTTACAAGTATAATCGATAAATTGTCAAATAAAGCAACCCAGTTTATAAACTTGTAGGAAGATGCTGAACCGCCCGAAAATTGGAAGCAAGTAATTGATGAATGGCCAGCAAAATTTTCTATATACGGTTTTGTTCTTATTATAAAATTCTGGCAGATGCAGAAGCAGATACCAAAAAGCCTATGGCCGCGTTTGACAGTTGATCGACATTGTCAAATGTGATGAAATACTTCCGCTGATAAACGGAAGATTTGGCTGAACAATTAAACAGCGGAAGAAAGTAACAAACGAAGCAAAATAAACTAAATAAACATGACATGTTTAGTTTCCGCCTGTTGTGTGAGCAGATGTCACTAAAAGAAAGAACAACGCATTTTCAATAGCTAAATTATGTTTTTTGCCTTCGTCCCCATTGTTAGGCGGGTCAGTTTGTAACGGCTTTGCAAACAGGCGTGGACGAACCTAACGGCATTTAAATAAGTGATAGCAGTAAAAAATTAACGGAAACTAGTAGAGGGAACGTGTGAAATTTCACGACGCTGAATGCAACAAACACGTCTTCGCAATAATTTAAAATATTCAATGAAGAAGGTTTTTTTACATTTCCCAAATTTTACATTTTGATTATCTGCTAACGATTGGTGTTGCTTGAACGCCTTTAAATTGCTACTTCAATGAAGGGTTTTGTTTTACCTTAAGCTTTCATTACCTTTGGCATCCCTATTCAGCCCATCCGTCAAATCTATTTTGCATGGTGGAGTATGGCCATTTCCTCTATATTGTGCTTCACTTTTGTAACATCCCGTTTCGTTTTCTCTATCGCTTACGCATTACCTACATTTCTGGATCGTAAGACAAAATTAGCGAAAAGATATATACAAATTGACATTTTAGTTCATATCACTGTCGGTACATTTTATTGTCCCTTAAGGTCAACAGCAGAGGCTAAATCAACAATGATTGCGGTTTATTGTACTGTTACAAATCAAGCACCCGACATCCCATTAAATCTGTTCGTCGTTTGTGCATTTGTGTTGCCATTGCTTCATAGTAAATCTAGCTTTAGTTTACAAGTGTCTCTCTACGTAACGATAACGAAAACAGCAGACCGAGCAGTAGGATAGTCCACATAGAGGTTAGGTGGCTCCACTAGATACCTACATATGTACGTCAATGTCTGTTATATTGCAATATATTTAAACGATACTCTGTTGCACACTTCTGTCGGAAAATCTGATTTCTATACCGTTTAATAAAGAATTTTAGAAAGAGAGGGGAAAACAGGACACCGCTCCTGCATTGTTGATTGTGCTGATTTTGTGTTGATTGAGGTCACGTAACAACAAGTATTTGAAAATAACACGAGCATGGTGGGTAGAACCGCTTCGCTGATTCGCTTTATATGGGCGAATGGTAAGTACACGACGCTAAGCACTTAATCGCTCATTGTTCAGTGATGACAGTTTCTGGCCTGACAAAGCATATCAAACTTTGGCCTCCTTTCCGCTATGCATTGAACCTGCTCTGTTGCTGACCCTTCGTACAAAGAGGAAAGCCAATTTGATTTGTCACAGAGCGCAGAGTCGACTTTCACATTCTTATCTCATTACGGTTAGTTCAGTCATTCTGAATAATATGCTGTGACCGCAATTAATCGGTGTCAAACACTGCATCAACTTTGTTTACTAATTTGTTCAGGATTTAACAGTAGTTGAGCGCACCTTAAATCCAAACAAAATTATCTAAGAAATGAAATGAAACGATATATTTAAATAAATAAATATTTGCGAGTCTTAATCCAAAAATGACAGCGTCTAAATCTCGAACTTTCCCTTGAAGAACGTAAACATTCTCTTCTCTGAATAGAAATGCAGGCACCTTCAAACGCTACTTTATCATTTTATGCATTGCCTAGCATCTGTTAGTTAAATTAATATTTCCACCCAATTTAATACAACAGTATTTCTAAT